CCCTCACCTTAATCGCTGTGTGCGAAGTTTGTGTATTGTATCATGTACCAAGAACGATGTATGTTGTAAATATATATGTTGTATTTTTGTAAAGAAATGTCTCTTTATTCGATTGTCCTTGTGTTGTCACCAAGAATGCATTTATTATAACAGCATGTTTCAACTATACAAGTTCATTTTGAAATTTATAACTTGATAACGTAAAATACTTTCACGATCACAATTTTTTCAATTAAATGTAGTATATGCTAGCTTCAGGAGGCGTACTGTACGTAGTAAAGTTATATAACTGTGTACTTTTAATTTTATTGATGCGGTCAATACACAGAAACTCAAATACTATTGTATATTAAATTTTTAACATGAACCATGACATAAAAATTTTGATTTTATACAATTTAATAAATACATTTGAATGGCTGTTCATAAAGTAGTCTGTAGAGAGATGGAGAGTTTTCTCTGTTTAATACTAATTACGGTTATGTTTTCGTATAGGCCTGGCATGGAAACAGACCCCCATCATCATATTTCTAACTTTAATATGCAAAGAAATATTTAATAAAAATATATGTATGCACAGGTACGATTTGTTGTAATTTCATATGCATGTGCACAGTGCTTCATTGATTATCGATTTGAAAATAAAAATAAATTTGTAGTTAGGGCCGTCTCCCTTTGTAATTATGCGTTAGAAACAAAATTGTCGTGAAGAGATTTGCATAGTCTTTGCCTCGATTATCTGCTATCGCACAAAACTTGAGATGATATGTTGCTTGTACCTCGCTTAGTCGGAGCAGCATAACCAGTGGTGAAGTGCCTTTTTTCTGACAACAGTTAATTACAGAAGTAAAATTTCATCATGAAGGAACACACATTTGCATAAAAACATGTCTGATTTGCGAGTCAGTGAATTAGAAACATGGTTTATATTAACATGGTTTCTGAAAACACCCTGATTTTAAATGCGTGATGCACTTGTTCAGCAAAACAGCCTATTAACCTCTGACTAGGCCACCAGAGATCGCATGGGTTTTAGTGAGGGGGAGGTTGTTATAGACTCGCCTTTCTGTGTCTTCCGCTTTCCGCCGCCGAACAGCAGTGGACATGCGTAAAACGAGGTAACAAAACGTGGCTTCCACATGTGTCTGTATTTTGTGTGTGTGTTTTGCGGTTATCATTCCAATATAAAGTATCCCGTAAAAGTGTTTGTTGCTTAAAACTTGTGTGGTGTGCATTTTAAATAAGTGAAAAGTGTGTGAACATGTAAGATCTCCGCCCGTCGTGTCACGCCACATGTCGTTATGGCCGCAACACGTCATAGTCGGTGAGTTACTTAGCTACAATTGGATAGTGTCATCCCATCTATTATAAAGAACAGCTTTGTTTTGAACTACATCCAAATTAAGTAAATTAAAATTATTATACATGCTTCAGTTCATACAGTGAACGAGAATCAGTAAAACGGGACCAGATAACAGCAGTAGAGTATAAAAATTCTGAAAGTAATACGATTTCAGACATATTTAGGCTACATTAGAATTGAATAGAATTTATTTACATTCCATAGATTCTTCTTAGGCATAAGCCAAGGATGTAGAACAAGTCATAGCACAAATACAATACTTGTTTATAGCACAAATATAAATACATAGTTATAACAGCTATTTGCAGACATTTTGGAACTACAATATTACAGCAAAATAATTATGATGAGAAACCATCACCTTTCAGAAACCTAACATAACCTAACCTAACCTAACTTAACCCAACCCAACCCAACCTAACCTAACGTAACCCAGCACATGCTAACCTAACCACTAGTTAATTCTAACGAATTGCAATGTAGCCAAAATAACCGATTCTTACGTAACATAAGGTAGACGTGCCGAAACGTGACATGGTGATCACGCGTGCTCAAGCGTGACTAAGTGTGACCTGCGCTCACGTCGTGACAAGGGATCACCATAAGTGTCGAATTGTGACGAAGATTTAGAAAGCGTGAGCAAACGTGACTAAGCGTGACAAAGCGTGATGAAGCGTGACTAGGCGTGATTTACTGTAAAGGCGTGACGAGATGTGGCCTGAAGAGTCGAAAGACGCCGAATTTAGACAAAGCGTGACCCTGCGTGATAAAGCGTGACAAACCCTGACTAGTCGTGACGAACTGTAACGGTGTGGCGAATTGTGGCCATAAGTGCCGAATCGTCACAAAAATTTCCAAAACATTACCGAACGTAACAAAATACACAAACCTAACCTAACCTAACCTAACCTAACGTAACCTAGCACATACTAAACTATCCACTAATTAATTCTAACGTATTGCAATGTACCAAAATAACCGATCCGTACGTAACATAAGGTATACGTGCCAAAACGTGACATGGTTATCACGCGTGCTCAAGCGTGACTTAACGTGACTAAGTGTGACCTGAGCTCACGTCGTGACAAGGGATCACCATAAATGTCGAATTGTGACGAAGTTTTAGA